TCTATTAATTCTATTTATTCTATCTACTCTATTTATTCTATCTACTGTATTTACTCTATTTATTGTATTTTCTCTATTTACTCTATCTACTTTATTTATTCTACCTATTCCATCTATCCCATCTACTCCATCCATCCCATCAATCCACATTGTTTTACATTCCCATAATTCCTCCGTCTCCACTCGATCCCTCACACTCCCAATTCTCTCCTTCTCCCCACTCTTCCCCTCGCAACGTAGAAACACATCCTCGCGGGTTTCCGGCCGAAAAGTCTCGCGTACATATTTCGCATTAAGGACAGGGAATTCAATAAATTCGCCCACGGGATTAGGCATTAGGCCGAGCCGGATTATACGGTGAATTCCTATCGCGGGACGATAGCGATCGCGCGGCTCCTCTCGCTTTGCTTCACTCCAACGTATCGCAGCCGGGGACGGATAATCCTTCTCAACTTGTATCGGTCGTTATGAGCCACTCGATACCCGCCCCCACCACCGCCCCCACCCCTGCATCCCATCCCCTCGTAATCACTTTCACGTCGGGAAGCGCGAAAAAATATTAAAGTGATCTCCGGGAACTTTCAACCGTAACTGATAAGGTGCAGCATGGCTTTCCGATACTTCCGCGGTGTAATCTTCTTATAATCTTATAATACACCCTACGGTTACGCGTGGAAAAATCAACGGGGTCCGATTTAACAGTGGGATTACGCGCTGGTTGGAATGATTGGTTTTGGTCTTGTTGTTTTTGTGGTTTTTGGGTTTTTGTGGTTTTATGTTGGTTCATATTAATTTTATATTAACTGTGCTAGTTAATATTAATTTTAAATTAGCTGTGTTAGTTAATATCAATTTTATATTAGCTGTAGCAGTTAATATTAATTTTATATTAGCTGTACTAGTTAATATTAATTTGATATTAGCTGTGCTAGTTAATATTAATTTTATGTTAGCTATATTAGCTAATATTAATTTTATATTAGCTGTGCTAGTTAACATTAATTTTATATTAATTATATTAGTTAATATAATTTTTTATATGTATTAATTATTTAATTAAGAATTCTTTAACTATTCTTAACTAGATTTTGTTAGGTATATTAGTTAGTATATATATTAGTTATTTAATTGAGAATTCATTAATCAAAATTGACTAGCCTTTATGTTATCTATATTAATTATTTAATTAAGAATTCTTTAATTAAAATTGACTAGCCCTAATGTTAGCTGTATTAGTTCTCTCTATGAGCTGTTTTTTAAATCAGCTCTTCTTATATTTATTTCATTTATTTTTGTACATTCTTATAATTCTTCTATTTATCCAATTTTTAATTCTTCTGTTTATTTGATTTAATTCCATTTTTATCATCCTTCTGTTTATTTGATTTAATTTCTTATTATTCGCACCTTTTCTCCATTTCCCTGCAAGTTTGACCTTGAATGACCTTGGGTCATAGGTCGTTGAATTCGTCTTAAAACGCACTATTCGACGATGGATAAAAGGCGATGTCCTTCCATTTAAGAAAAGAAAGTTGACCTTCAGCTCACCTTGGAGTGTCCACCAAGAATATTTCCTTTTAATTATAATAGTTGATTACGCAGGAATAATATTTACTTCGAATTCGAATTAACTAAGTAATATATTTATTCGTTGAGTCATGTTGAAAATCTCGTTGTAGGACAAGGGGTTGAAAAAAAATCTATGAAGACACAACCTGACGAGTCCCGAGCACCACGTGTCCCCCATTAAATCAATCCACCTCGATCCACCCTAATCGCGGAGTACATTGAAACCTCGCTCTATTTAAGCCCCGCGCATAACCCATTAACCTCAATCAACCGTCCACCCTGGCGACACTCGTCTCGGCGATCAGCATCTCCATCAAATCCAATAAATTTCGCTGTTTAGAAACGTGATCCTCGTGTTATCGCGACCATAGAGTCTAGTGGACAATGGTGTCGACCTGTGTTCTCAAATTCTGTTATCTCGAGACAATTCTATGAGAGAAATCGACGCCATTGTCACATACAGGGTGGAAATTATAAAGCGTTACAGTTGAATAAGAAATGAAATTGTCATAGTTGAATAAAAAAAACAAGAAAGTTGTTTAATACCGAGGGGGACATCTTAGTTAGTGTCTTGTTTGCCAAAAGCCTTATCATTATTTAAATACTTGCAAAACAATATTTCCAAAATGGGTCAAATTTGACCCATGATATTTTTAATATTAAGATTCATTTATACATATGATCCAACAATAATTTGTGATCATACTAATATCTTATTTCCCAAGAGCTTCGTCATCTCCCAAAAATTTAATGTTGATTAATTATTATTAAACATTATAAACAGCTACCTTGTATAATGCATCCACTTGAAAAATACTGAAATAAATAGCTCCGTTCCTCAATGCATGTGTGATTTCTCTTCGAGTTACGAAAGTGAAAAATATTTCTAGTGAAAAACTTCCGAGTGCAAAGGGTTAATCGAGCGAACTACGGTAATTCAATTTGGTTGGGGGTCACCGGTGACCCCCACGGCACTCGAGAGGTGACTCTTAGTCACCGTTTGATTTGATATAACAAAATTTCAAAGTGTCGTATATAATACTAAGTTTCCTATAATGCAACAATACGTGAAATATTTATATAAAATAGCTTTGTTTCTTAATTTACGTATGTTTTCTCATTAGTTCGTTTCAAATAGTGTCGCCTATATCTCATTGGAAAGTGTCGAATATTTCTAGTGACAAGCTTCCGAGTGCAAAGGGTTTATTGGGACTTGGTAGAATCAACTGACACTTGTATTTGCTAAATTCTATTCAAATCTTCGCCACGAGTTGACACCATGGGGCAACGAGTTAGTCTCGATCCCACGTCCATGGTGCTCTGCCAGGCCTTCTTGACAGTCGCCAGGCTTACAGGACTCCCCATTGAAATTCCCCAATGATCGTCGACGCTGCTGTGCACATATATTCATAACAAATAAATATTATTTAATTTTTACTTGCTAGAATCAAGTGACACTTACATTTGCTAAATTTTATTCGAATCTTCGCCACGAGTCGACACTATGGGGTTGGTCTCGATTCCACGTCCATGGGGCTCTGCTAGGTCTTCCTGACAGGCACTAGGCTAACAGGACACCCCCATAGAAGTTTCTCCATGTTTTAGTCATCCCTAAGACAATTGTCGACGCTATGACGCATCAACAATCATAACAAATGAATATTATTTAATTCGAACTTGTTAGAATCAACGGACACTTATATGTGCTAAATTTTATTCGAATCTTCGCCACGAGTCGACACCATGGGGCAAGGAGTGTATCTCGATCCCACGTCCATGGGGCCCGCCAGGCCGCCGTGGCAGGTACCACCAGGACAATAGGCCTTCCCCCAGCCCACCTCCCGTCACGCGCGTTTTTACTACCGGTCCTGTCTCCCCCTTTCTCCCCGGCGGACGCCGTCATAGGTGAACGCCGGCGAAGGGTGTTTCCGCGTGTCGCCGGGGGGACGCACATTGGGCCACTCGTTCCGCCGCGACACCTCGCACCTAGTCCCCTGCCCCCGGCGTTCAGCATCGCGATTATCATTTCGAAATCGACTAGAAAAGCCAGTCGGTGACAATGGCCGGCCATGATGCGTTAGTAACGGCCATTCACCGGGCAACTGCGGGAAAGAATGGACGGCGAGATAGGGGGCAGGCTGACGGCTACGCGGACGGGAAGGGTCGGGGAGGCGGCGCTGCACGGAGCCGTTTGCCGGTGCTCGGAGGAGTGGATGACGCTTTCGGTCATGGGGTCATGCGAGGAGACGATATTCCTGTAAATGTTTATGTTTGGGGGGTTCGATTTTTTTAGCCCATTCGCTGCCAAGACGAGTATACTCGTTGCCAAGTTGTCAAAAAATAATTATAACGTTTCAAATAAAATTCTCTTTGTCCTACGTATATAATATAAAATATTTATTTGCTTATTCGAAAGCCTGTGTTATAACATATTGAAAGACGAGTATACTCATCCTTGGCAGGATGTTATGCGTTGCCAAGTTGTCAAGAAATAATTATAATGTTTCAAATAAAATTCTCTTTCTGCTACATATATAATATAAAATATTTATTTGCTTATTCAAAGCCTGTATGTTATAACGTAGTGAAAGTAGGACGAATATACTCGCCTTTGGCAGAGCGTTGTGCGTTATACGTCTTCTTAAAAAGAAATGATTAATGAGATAAATCTATATTTCTAGTATTTTCCCAAATAAATTAAAAATGACGTAGCACCACGTTCCCACCATTTTCCCCAAAGAAACTAATGACGTACTTTTACGTCATTTTCCCAAAACAAATTAAAAACAACATAGCTCAAAGGAACGAAAAATGCCACTTCCCATACCATCGCCAGGTGGCCCTGGAGGGGGTTGGGTGGGGCCGGGGTTGAGAGAGAGAGGGGCTCGACGTGGTTGGCATTAAGCGTTATTAGCCGACCCCTAATAGCGTGCCCCGTTTTTGCCCGCGGACGAATCGGGCCCCGGTGACTTCGTGCTCGCTCCGGTGAGCACCGCGAGTAATCCCCGTAACATCTGTATCATCGCTCGGTATTCTGACATTCGACACGGGGCGCGGTGCATCTGGCTCCCCCTCTGCGCCACTCTGAGGAGGACCCTTCCGGATGGTGTGAATGGGACTCCATCCTTTTTGGGGGGTCCTCGCGTGGACAGTTACACGCCAGTTTTGCGAATTGGGGTGGGAATGATCGTGCTTTTGTTTTTGGGAATTTTTGGGACGATGGCAGGGAGTTTGTATCTTGCATTGGGGTGAATCATGGTGATTTTGTTCTGGGGGGTGTTTTTGAGACGATGTTGGACAATTTGTATCTGGCATAGAGAA